GTCATTTCCTCCTCGCACGATCTCCTCCATGTCACCCTTGCCTCGGACACCCAACTCGTCGCTTCCTATGGGGATTCCACTCGAGCAACTGGCCTGACTTGTGATGTCCCCAGTCGGCCTTCTCAGTGTATGCCCAGTCCATCTCCACTTCCTTCTGCATATTTGTTGGGTGATAGGTTCTTGGTTAGTTCATCACCAGCCAGAATCCCTTGTTGATTATTCTTATTATTCTGATCATCTGAGATTCAGTAGCGAGCCAGCGTAAGCAGTTGTTGATGAATGTCTGTAGTTTGTTGGGAATCCCTTTCGTAACGCGCCAAGTCTCTGAACCATCATACAGAAGCACTGACTTGATGTTGGTGTTGAAAATCCGGATCTTGCTCCACATGCTGAGTGCAGAAGATCTCCACACTGGTTTCAGGTTAATGATAGTCTGTCTTGCTCTTCCGATTCTAACTTTGACATCCTCGTCTGTGCCACCTGTAGTTGAAACAGTGCTGCCTACGTAGGTGAAGGAGGTTACTTCCTTTAAGTTTCTCCCGCTGATGGTGATTGGAGTTTGTTGTTGTTGTTCTTGTTGTTATTGTTGTAGGTGTTGGTTGGGTATCTTCATCACCTCTGTCTTCTCTGCATTCACTTGAAGTCCCGTCTTCGCTGCCTCGACTATTCTGTTAACTTGTTAGTTTTCGTCTGCAGATCTTCAAGTTTGTGTGACACAAGTCATCGGCGAAATCCAGATCTTCTAGGTTCTTTTCCGCAGTCCAGCGTATCCCTCTCTTCTCGCTTCTCACCGTTTGCTGCATGATCCAGTCGACCACAATCAGGAATATTTTGCTTTGGGTGGACAGGAGAGTGATTCGGCGCCAGTTCTTGCAAACACTGAGGTCTCACTTCCGCAGTTTGACAAGGTAACCCTTCTTCCAATCAATAGGCAGGTACCTTCCCTTCCTTCCACACCTCCTGCAATAGTGGTGTGGTGTGAGCATGTCCGCTGTTGTCTCTGCATCTGTTCTCAGTGCTTCTGGCAGGATTCCATCTGGTCCTGCTGCTTTCCCGCATTTCAGTAGCTTTATGGCGTTCAGGACTTCCATTTTCGTTGGGGGATTTATGTTCACTTGTAGTTCTGTGGCTGGGCTGTAGGTGGTATTTCTGGACGAGTTGCAGTGATGGTGGTGGTCGATTCAAGAGCTTCTTGAAGTGGTCGGCCCATTGTTTCCTCTGTTTCTCTTCTTTTGTAATTAAATTTCCATCATCATCTTTTATTGGTTTCATCTGTGTTGATCTCTCCCCTGATAGCAACCTGGTTATTTGATACAATGTTGTCAGGTCTCTGTCTCTCCTACCTGCAACCTCTTCTGCTTGACTTGCCAGTGTGTCGTGAAAGTGTCTTTTGTCTTTGCATGCACTCTTCTTCACTTCTTTGTCCAGTGCAGTGTTTTATACATTGTGCTCAGTTCCTCTTGTCGTTGAGCATCCTTGCACTGGTTTATCTTCTGCTTCACCATCCTCCTCTCCTCTATCAGCTTCCAGGTATCCGTCGAGATCCATTCCTTGTCTTCCACCTTCTTCCTTCCTAATATGGTTGTGCAGGTTTCTTTCCACATAGCTTTCAAAGACTTCCAGTGTTCTTCCACACAGGTTTCTTCATGGATGTTCCTCGATATCTCCCATTTTGTCTTGATGGCTGCCTTGAAGATCTCCTTTGTAGTTTCATCCTTCAGTTTCTGAGTGTTGTACTTGAATCGAGGTCTATCACCAGCTTCCTTGAAGGCTTTTAACTTGATTTGGAAGGTTCCTTGCACTAGATAGTGGTGTGAACCTACATCTGCTCCTCTTCTTGACCTTGTGTCAAGTAGGCTGCGTCTCCACTTTCTTCACATTGAGGTGAAGTCGATTTGATTTTTAGAGTGTCCTAGTGTCTGGTGAAATCCATGTCGCTTTGTGAATATCCTTGTGCTTGAACACAGTGCCTCACTGCAATCACCAAATCGTTGAATGCACAGAATTCTGCAAACAATTCTCCACTCTTGTTCATCACCTCATCGAGTGCTTCTCGACCCATTGTTTGTTCTCTTCCTGTGTTATCCCCTCCCACTTTGGCATTCATGTAACCCCACACATTAGAATTTTGATATCGCCAACTGAGGTCTTGTTCAGTGCTGATTACAGTCGTCTGTAGAATTCTTCCTTCTTCTCTTCATCTGCATTATTTGTAGGTGAGTAGCGTAGCATTGTGTGATTGTGACTTTCCTTCTTTTTGAGTTGAACCTTGCTGTTATGATCCTGCATGAGGAGATTGGTTCCCACTGCATGAGAGACGGCCTTTGATGCTGTTGGGGACATCATGATAGCCACTCCAAAACTCAGTGTGCTCGTGGTTATCGTCTGGGTGAGAATATCGGAGTAGATTATTGATTCTCCAGTTGATAGTTTGGAGAGTCCACTTCCATTCCATCTGCTTTCGCAAATCCCAAGCACTTTTATATGATACCTCTTCATCTCGTTTGCAATCTGGGCAGCCTTGCTGGGTTCAAACATGATGCGAACATTCCATGTCCCCACGTTTACTTTCACTTTCATGGAGGGAGAGAAGACACATCGGCTAATTGGCTTCTTGAAGGCTTTCACCAACTGGCGTCATTCGACCTCTCCTATTCCAGCTAGAAATAATTTTGTTATTATTTTTTATATATCGTTTGTGTCTAAAAGTTCTTCTAGCGGTTAGATTTGTTTTATGGGGTAGGGTTGGTAGCCGTATGCCCAACCTTCCCTCTTTACGTGGGGTTAGGACCGGCTAGTAACTAGTGAACTAGTTAACCAGGCGAGGTTAATCTATGTTTTAGTTAATTGTCATGAAGACGCCACATGCCAAGTGATTCATAATGGGAAGCTCATTGACGCCTTCGAAGTAAGGATAGGTGTAAGACAAGGCTGCCTAATATAACAAATGATCTTCCTGATTGTGATGGACTGGATCATGCAGCAAACAGTTAAAAGCGAGAAGACAGGGATATGCTGGCTGGACCGGCGAAGAGATTCTAGAAGATTTGGATTTCTCAGCCGATGATGATTTATGTCTAATGTCACACAAACCTGAAGATCTACAGGTGAAAACCAGCAAGTTGATAGAAGGGGCGAGGCAAGTCAGCAAAGTAAGATGGGACTTCAAGTGAATATAGAGAAGAGGGAGGTGATGAAGATACCCAACCAACACCTACAACAATAACAACAACAACAACAACAAACTCCAATCACCATCAACGAGAGAAACCTAAAGGAAGCAGCATGTTTCACTTACCACCTAGTCAGGCAGCATCGTTTCAACTACAGTCATAGGCGACATAGGCATAGGCACAGACGAAGATTTCAAAACAGTCAGGATTGGAAACACAGCAAGACAGGCGTTCATTAACCTGAAACCAGTGTGGAGATCTACTACACCAAGCACAAAGCGTGAACAACATACGGATTTTCAACACCAATGTCAGTCAAGTCAAGTCAGTGCTTCTATGTGATGGTTGAGAGACTTGGCGCATCACGAAAATCACTTCCAACAAACTATACATATACATCATCAACAACTGCCACCACCTACGCTCACTCACTCGATACTGACACTGAAGATCGATCAGATGGTGAGAATAATAAGAATAAGCGGGGAGGAACTCACTCTGGCCTGCCAACGAATAAACCAATGAGGGACGTATCACCCAACAAATATGCAGTGGAAGAAAGTGTAGATGGATTGGGAATACACTGAGAAGGCCGAGTGGGAACATAACGCTCGAGGTCAGGCCAGGCACACGAGTGGAATCCAAAAGGGAAACGATAAGTTAGGCGTCCGAGGCGAGGAAGAAATGAAAGGTTGTGGGCAGTCGTAGAGGGAGGTTAAAAGGTTTGCAGAGAAGAGAGTGGAATAAAGACGTACTACTGAAGCTTTATGTTCCACTAAGAACCCGAGGGAAAAAATAATAAAATTAGTCAGTTGTCTTAATTACCTGATCAATTATTATCCTATTGATACTTTGAGATTCACAACCTTTCATCAAAATACAACTCTCACCACTAGATTGGTACATAATTTTATGTTTTGAAAATGCTACGTAGATTAGTATCAAGCCATTGATGAGGAACTAACTGAATAGAAAAATTTCTTCGCTCACATTGTTTGTTTTACTAAAATGAAATTTCAAGTTGGTTTTCATCGTAGACTGACATCAGTTGGAAGAACAATGGAAACCTGGGAGCATTGGATATCTTCCTCGTCCTAGTATGCCACTTCTCAGCAGTGCGCACCTACGACCCCGCACTCCAGGGACCGAACCTGAAACCTTTAGGTTCGTGGACGGCACGTTACCATTGAGCCACTGACTCGGTGGAATCCAGGTGTCCATATTTCCAATTGAATTTCAAGGAGGTTGTGGGGAGTTGGAAACATTACAAGTTGGCATTCATTCTCACAACCTCCTTGAAATTCAATTGAACTGGTGTTCATTGGTGACTAGCTTCGAGAGGTGATTCGCGAAGTTCCAATGAGAAGTCGTAACCAGTGGGGCTAGCCTGATGGTCGTGAGGAAAGTGACTCAAAGATGACATTGGGTGGCGGTTGCGCTATGTCGTGAATTGACAGAAGTTGGGAATGCAGACCATTCGATTCCCACCTAGTGGCTCAATAGTAACGTTCTGGCCACGAAACCGGAAGGTCTTGGGTTCGATCCCTGGAGTGTGGGATTGTGAGTGCGCACTGCTGAGAAGTCGCATACTAGGACGAGGCAGATGTCCAATGCTCCCAGGTTTCCATTGTTCCTCAGACTGTTGTCAGTCTACGATGAAAACCAACTTGAAATACTTCTAAATCCCCACAACCTTCTCTAAATTAAAATGGAATTGCATCGAATGGCCAGTTCGCAAAGAAAAACTGAAGACAAATTATTTCATTTTTTTTATTTTTCTCCGTTAATAAAAAAAATTTCGTCTCATACCTTTTCAAAGCAATAATATTAATGATATTCATGAGCATCTGAATGTTTTCCATTGTCAATGGTTCCATCCAATGTTAATGGATGCGTACTACATGAACAACAGTAGACTCGAGGAATTCGTTTTGTTTTTATTCTAGTATTCCCTTGATGACTATGCGTATTGATATATTCTGTGATATTTATCCTTTCACTGATTTGATTATTTGTATTTTCATTATTTGATGCATTGATATGCATAGATGTGTTCAATGAGTCAATAAATGTTGAATTTTGCGCTGTAAAGCTTATTTTAAATAAATATTGCATTTTCAATGCTTGAAAGTAATACTTAAAAAAGTATTTAGTAATATGTTTAAATTTTGATGATTTATAAAATAAGATAGGAAAAGTGAATAAATAACGTTGACTAGACCAAATTCTTAATAAACCAGATGTGAATTGAATAGTACACATTTGATTAATTGATTTACTAAGTAGTTTACTACTATATAAACTATTTGATAGTAGTATCGAGTCAGTGTTAGTAATATTTACATTCGTGTTATTATTTATATATGGATTTAAATTGAAATTGATTGCAAACGGTTGAAAGTAATTAGGTATAATGAATTTCATATGTAACCATTCTATTACTTCAGCAATTTCAAAAAGAAAATTTACAATTCCTAAATAAATAGCTAACTGTGTCGGTTCTGTAAAGACGTTTTGTTCTTTAGTGTTCCCCATCGATTCTATGAATCTTGTTGATAGACATCCTGTTGTTCTTCTTCCTTGTCTTGTAGAACAATCAGAGTTAGAGTTAGATGTAAGACGTGATTTTTTCAAGGCTGTTAAACCCAACAGCATCAAAGAGATAAATATCAGGATATGAGGCAGTATAGAGTGGCATGTCTAAAAAACAAAATGAGAAAAGACAGTGGTAATGTATCAGTACAATAATATAAATGTCTTCGTTAATATGAATTAAAAATTATCCATAGTTAATTCCTGTTACATAAGATAGAAAGCTGACGATAATTAGCTGAAAATAACAACCGATGTACCTTCTCAGATTCCTGCGCACAACACCCAGGATTGGAGTCACCAAGGAAATAACCGAGTTATTCGGAGACTACAAGTTACATGTATGCTGATTTCAAGTGGGTAAATACAGTTTTTTTCCCTCAATTTTCATTCCAAATATCTAATAGCAAAAGTAGTAGTCAGCCATTTCTTATCTAGGTAAACAACGAGATGAGAAATGTGATATTCTACAATATACGACCATAAGTGTAGACCATAACACGAGTGAGAAAATAGCTGAAAATTAGTTTGAAATATCTTTCTTCAAGTATTTCTAAAACATTTCAGCTACCAGTAAAGACTAGAAAACATCAGATTGATCACTGTCGAGTAACTCATCAATTTCAACATTTCTCCTTTCAAACGGCCACATTCTATTAACAGTACATTCTTGAATGCTTCAAAGTAATTACTGGTCGAAAGTCGAAGCATACATATTTCATTAAAACACTGAGTTATGCAGTATACATGTATGGGCATTTAGATGGCGAGAATAAACAAACAATTACAAAATAAAATATTAGAGAATTATAAAGGATTCATTGAAGGTGATAAGTGTTTGAGGAAAACCTTGGCAAAGAAACAGATTGTACACTCCTCCTTCGAAAACACAATGACAGTGTGAATGTTCAAATTGCTACAACTCAAAGTAGACCCAAATATCTCATTCTCACTGCCTTTGACTGACTGGATCCTACTTTATACAGATTTTTGAAGACGTTTCAGAAATAATGAGTTGGGGGAAACTAGTCATAACCCATTACTGGATACGAAGATGTGTATGAACTCGGTGTCTTCAATAAATGAGTTGAATTGAAGTTAAAACCTGAGTGAAAAGCATCACATGGCTGTCTGATTTCAATAGAGATACTTTCTTACAACCTGCCATACGTAAATAAGCAAGGCTTTAGGTCGACTGATACAAGTTTATATAGTTAAGGTTTGTTTGAACTGATCGTCTTCAAAGTAGTATTCGTCATGGATTGTCATCAATTGGAGAAGTATTAAAGATATTACAGCAGTGAAAAGCTCTGTCGATCACACCTGAGACTCATTGAAAGTGTACATTTAATAACCCTGATGACGCATCGTGATTTGATGATACTTTACTCATGCCACCTGATAGATAACTGTGTCGTGAAAGTATTCCCCTGAGGTATCTGAAAATGTGAGAAGTGATAAATGGATGGATTTGATGGATAACACTATAAGGTTCTAGGAAGCGTTCAGTATTATGCTCATTTACTTGAAAAGAAAACTTTGTTACAGTGGTATTTCCCATGAAAACATTAGTTGACAATAATATGAGTTACAATTCTTAGACGTAAAGTTTAGTTTTATATGTTAAACGAGGACAAAATGCGTTTACAATTCTTTTTGAGCAAACACAAATTTACATTTCGTTATAAAGAGAGAGATGAATTTTGCTGGGGGATACAGTAACTGCTCAAGGTAGACAGGAATAGAATCTTCGTTATTGACTAAGTAAATGGCTAAAGTTGGTATAAAGTTGCGTTGAACTGTGTATTTAGGTCATGACTTTAGCCAAATAAAGTAATACAGGCAAATCCACAGAAGATAACGTCAAACTTACATCAAAACATAAGTTAAGAAATGTTTAATGACTAAGAATATAAAACTGTTGAACAGGTTTAGGAAATAATGGTTAGTTCCTGATTAACTGTTCTCTAAGATTTGATAGTTTGTCGCAGAAGTTTCATTACCAAGGTTAATGACATTCCAAGTACTAACTTCATAAAGAAACATCCGTGACAGAATACCAGAGCTTAGGAAATATCAAATCATAATCATCTTAATCCTAAGCAAATATTTTCCACCAATTCTCTCATTCACTTCACTTATCACTTTCTGAATATCTCTAACAGTTATGTGGTGTAGTCTGAATTACGTAAATGTGGACGGATTCCACCTCTCAATAGTCGCTCAATTTCCTCATAAATAGAAAAGGCGGTAACAATACAGAAAGCGTGTATTTACAACGTCAGCGAAAATATCCACCACTAAGTCGACTCCATATTGTATTGATTAGAATACAGCGGGCCACGTGGAGGCTCACCGTCATTACGCAACTATGCTCGCCCAGTATTCACCTGTGCCTCTAACATCTCAGGTTTTTCTGGCCAGTAGCTCAAACTCCAATCCATATAACCGCGCCATCCGAACTTTGAGGCAATGATGCTCTAAGCACGTCACCGCAGAAGGAATTCGGCGTACCTGTTAAGGCAGCGACCTCGTCACCAATTAGATGATGAGACATTTGTCTATCTTGAGAGGATCATAGTTACTCCTGCCAACTACTAACACTACTATCTTCTTTTGCATCGGTCTTTATCAATCCGTCTGTTCTTTGTTTCACTGTTTTGAAGTGTTGGCGACTTGAACCGATGCATTTATGTGTAAGATTCTGCTCTGATTTCTTCATATCTGTCTTATCTTGAACTGAGAAACAACATTTTTTAGAGCATTGCGTAGAAAAACAGTCAGAGGTAACGCAGCGACTGGGATGCCACTTGTAATGTGTCTTCGCGCTTCAAAAGACTTTCAGTCAATAAAAATGACAATCACCACCACCCTGAGGAACATGTAACCTCATCTCAGAATCACTTTTGTTTACATCAAATGTTGACAATTTAACAGTGAAAAAAGTGATAGAACATATCAAGTTGATGTTCGCCCTCGGCTCAAAGGTGTAAGATTCCATAGAAGTACGACACAACTGGTCACACCAACATGTTGCGTAAATGACCTTTCACAGACAGGCTTATGTTGAGATGGCACAAGCGTCATTAACTTTTAGTACTTTGCTGTCTTACACACGGTTGAAAATCTCATCATCTGTAAATCTACTAGCAGTCATGAGGGTAATTAAACATCCCTACTACGTTCAATAAGTCGGCACCAAGCATGACTGCAGACACAGGTGATTGTCGATGTTGTTGGTTAGGTTAACATTATAATTACGCATACCTATCGCGAGATGATTGAGTACCATTTGACTCACTTCTACGTTGTCACATAGTAGAATAATATTGTTCTGCACACTTAAGGTCAGAAAATCGTTAAACCAGTTACAAGTCTACACCACTCTCAAAGATATATCAGGTCAAAGAAGCCAGGAATGTTATAGTCTGCTTGGTGGCTTGCAACAGAACTCGAGGCATGCATTTGGTCTTAATTAAGACTCATCAACTGGATGTGCCTTCACCTTCATGAATGATTTTGTTCCCAGCTTGACTCCAATCCATTAGCAATCACTTCAAACGTCAAAGAGTTATCCAGGTGCATTCAGCTGACGAATTCTAAATGGGATGAAGCCCTCGTCCAAGATTTCACCCCAAGTCACCACGACGAATATAACATAATGAACAACCGAGCGGTATGAAGACATCTGCATAGGGGCCTATCTGTCCACAGAGGTCGAACAAGTCAACTCAGAAGAACGATGGGAGATTACAAGTATCGAACAACAAAAACAGGACTGAATCATATAAATTACACAGAATTATATTACACTGTTAACTTGATAATATCATTTTGTTAAATTTCCTGTTTCCTCAGGAATAGAGATTGATTTAGATCTTTTAAATTTCCGCTGAAATATCGTTAAGTTTCAGTGATAAGCAACAAAACATTAAAATATACAGTGAATATAATTTTCATAAGTATCATCATCACCATCCTACTTATGAATTTTAAGTAGTATATAGAATCTTATCAAATATTTACCCAAAATAATGAGTTTTGAACAGTTCGACTCTTTCAGTGCATTTCCTATCAATAAAGTACACACACACACACACACACACACACACACACACACACACACACACAAAATAAGAGGAGATTAAACTGGCAACATCTTTATGATAATGTAAAAATAAGTTTCTATCAACTTGCTCGTAGCATTTTTTCTAGGTGGGTGGAAAAATGTATTTTGTTATTTTCATCTTTCCCAACAACATCAACTAAATAAAACGGAATTTTTTTCAAACAAAACTGAGATGTTGTAATCTTTAACACTGAAAAGAATGTCTATCGAAAAAGGAAACAGCGCTTAGCTGCCTTTCTTCCACTTGACTTGGAACTTTATACTAAGTTAAAGAATGTGATGGTTTTTGAATGGTGACTTTTCAGGAAGAAATATGAGATGAGTAACGAGAAAGAAAAACCACAGCGACAAGATAATGATGACAGTTATAAAGTTGAACATTGTCTATGTTTACAAAAATACCTGAGGACTGTTCGTATGCAAAATGAAACACTGGCAAATAGGATAGACTAAATGTCCACTTTAGATTGTTTTATAGCATATTGTGAAGGTATTAATGTTAAGAATCAACGGAAAAAATGGGAAATCAACGGAAACTGCATCAGCAACGATGCCTACCATGTAATTGTAGTGTATTGAAGGGAAATTCACTTCTGAATCTAATAGATACTTAGTTGCATTGTCACTGAAATGTATAATTTGGATTTTAAGTAAATTATCAATTTCAAGCTGTTATTCATTGAAGACTGACATCGGTTGGAGGAACGAAGGAAACCTGAGGGCGCCGGACAGCTGTTTCTTCCTAGTATGAGACTTCTCAGCAGTGAGCACCCACGACCCCGCGACCTTCAGGTTTCGTGGCCAGCATGTTATCATTGAGACACTGGGTCAGAATCCAATGGTCCATATTTCCAACTTCTGTTAGCTCACGAGAGGTATTCCCGAAGTTCCAATGAGAAGTCGTGACCAGTGGGGCCAACCTGATGATCGTGAGGAAACTTAATCAACGGTGACATTGGATGGCGGTTGCGCTACATCG